AGGCACAGATCTATTCTAGCCCCCCTGAAGGGATGGTAGGTGGCACAGCGAAAATTCTGGTCTTTTAGAATAATGTAGATTTAGAATGTTATGACCAGAAGGTGTTAGATTTTTGTTGTACATTATACCAAATGTCTTCTTACTAAAGCAATTTTGATTCTTCCTGTACTGCGAAGATATAGATATCTTTATTTAAGTGTCTCAAATCATCCCTCATCCACCATCTGAGCAGGGCGGGTGGCCGCCATCTCCCCAGCATGTCAGGTGTCGGCCTTCGTTCCCTGATTCAGCCTCAGTGGAGCTAATAGGTGGTATTGCCTCAGAGTGTAGGTGGCCACACTGGGTCTGTTCTGTCACCTGTGTGCGTCCCTTGTCACTCATACCCACCCACAAACCAGTCCTTGTGCCTGCATATTTTTCCTTTGAGCTAAACTAATTTAAATAAAAATAAATCAATAAATCCTACCAGGCAACAGAAGCCCCTAGGGGAGGAAAAAATAAATAAATTCAAACATTTCCCTTTTTTTTTTTAAAGACTTTTTTTTTTTTTTTTTTTTTTTTTTTTTTTTTTTTTTACTGTTAACTAATCTCTACACCCATCATGGGGCTTGAACTCATGATCCCGAGATAAAGAGTCACCTGCCCTATTGACGGAGTGAGTCAGGAGCCCCTGAAATATTTCCATTCCTTTACCATAGTGGAGGGCACTAGGTTTTTGCTGCCACGAGATACATGAAGTAACAGGGTTGAGTTAATAAGAAATATCTTTTTCTTTTTTTAATGAAATATCTTCTTTACAGATTTTTTGGGGGGTCGGAGACCCTGGGGAAATTGACGATTAAGTCATTGAGCTGTGGAGAGAGAGACAAGAGCCACTTTCCTAACGAGGAGTGGAGGAGTCAAGTTATTAACAAAGTAGGAAGCCTGGAGGGAGAGAATCCTATTCAGCCTTCTGCTTAGCCAGAGTCTGCTGAGTACCGTCTAGCTCACACCGCCTTCGGAAGGACCTAAAGGTGAGCCAGCTCCTCCGATGGAGAACACCTAACATAGCCAGGACTAAGCAGCCCCAGGAATTCCTAATTACTTTTGTAAACCCCTCCCCAACCCTGCCATGTGGGGACCATGAAGACTGGAGCAGAAGAAAAAGAAGAAAGCCCGTAAATAGAGAACAAGCCACGTCAGGAGGTGGGGGCAGGGAGTTGGGAAGGAGTGGGGCAGAGAATTCAGATCATTTCTAAAAATTTGATATGGGAAATATCTGCAAAGTTCTAATCTATATTTTCTATTTCTGGGTTCACTGACTCGAGACATATTTCAGACAAGTACTAGAAAGCATCATTGATGGGCTTTTCTTTTTTTTTTTTCCCCCTTCCCTAAGAAATTGAAAAGGAGCATGCCCACCACAGACTCTGGCTGAGGTGTCAGTGAGATGGAGAAGTTGCTGGTATCCTACCCTTTGTTGCCCGGGCTCCCAGCCTCACCACATCTACTGGGATTCATTTGTGAAACAGCCAGTTAGACAGTATTTTCTTAGTGGATCGGTTTGACCGTTCCCGTTAGAACACAGAAACTGTATCTCTGTGTGTTACAGAGGGGGAGGAGTACATGGAAGCTCACCAATGACAGGAATGTGTTTGGCAAAGCAATTGAGCCCTTTGGTCTGGTTCTTGGGCGACTATACTAGCTCAGCCCCCATCATGTATCCCAAATCACCAGCATAGGGCACAAGCACCCTTCTGGATCGTGTCTACTAAGAGAATTTGTGGGATGGCAAGAGGAGGAAAGGGTGGACCAGAATCACAAGGACAGAGAATGCGTACCTATCGATAGTCTAGATCCCATTACATACAAAACAACCACAGGATCAGGAAATGATCAACAAATGCAGAGTCTGGGAACTTCTTTTAAGAATTAATTAAGCAGGGGTACCTGGGTGGCTCAGTCATTAAGCGTCTGCCTTCGGCTCAGGTCATGATCCCAGGATCCTGGGATCGAGCCCCGCATCGGGCTCTCTGCTCAGTGGGAAACCTGTTTCTCCCTCTCCCACTCTCTCTGCTTGTGTTCCCTCTCTTGCTGTATCTCTCTCTGTCAAGTAAATAAAATCTTTTTAAAAAATTAAGCAAGGGGGAGAATTTATAAAGTCTACTGCCAGGTGTTAGAAGCGGTAGGACAGGCAGGTATGGAGGGTTTGGGCATTTTTTTTTGCCTTACCCTGGAAATGGTAATAGAAAATGTCTACCATCGTGTGGAAAAATAAAGGCCCTCTGCTCTCTCCTCGGACCCTCGTTTTGTGGCCGAGAATGAAGAGGTTCAGTAGGATTCAGGCTGTTCAAGCGTGTCGAGCTAGCAAGTGCCAGGACTCGGTGTTGAACCCCATTCTTCGAACCTCATGCTCTTTCTGCTTCGTTATTCCACTTGTCAAAGACCAGGCAAAGTTGCAAAATAGTAGGGATGTAGAATTTTAATCCACTCCTTGAGATTTGTATTTAAACCTAACCCACAGGTCCCCCCCTTCCCAACTCCCATCCTCTCTTTCGGAACATAATACCCTCATTTGGAGTATCATTATTGGCTTACCGCAGATGCTTTGGTGAGAAGAGGCTCTTGGAAAATTACCAAGGGAGGAGCAATTGGGGAGAACGCAAATACAATTTCCAAGATCTATTACCTGTTCAACTTGGCTCATCCTCTTTTCTCGATGAGTATGGGATCTTTGTTGTGGCCAGCTTGTGATGCTGTGCGTAAGTAGGAGAAGGGAAGCTGTCGTCATTCAAAATGATTTGTGGTAGCCCTATGTTAGCGTCCTGGCTATCCAGAAACAGGGAGGCCCAGGGGTGGTAGGCTGGCAGGTGTAACGACACACTCAGTTATCATTAGACATTTTGATAAAATGCAAATTAGAGCAAAGCCTAGATCCCCCACAGGAATAGTGATCTGAGGATCCCCCAGGGGATCCCACCCCCTGCTGAAAGCCATGTGGGAGGAGACCATGGTCATGCTGTTGGGAAGAGGCTTCATTCAGCAACTCGTTGATCATAATGTCAACCCAACCGCTGGGTCTTCTGTTCCTCTTTCCAGCTGTGGTTATTTGGTATTTTCTAAAATACAGAAACAAAGGATCATAGGCTTTTGTCAAATCATTACCAATCATCGTGGACTTTGCATAAAGAAGCAGGAAAAGACAGATCGAAGCTAGGGGACTGGTGAACACCAGCTTACAGGAGCTGCATTGAATCAGGAAGAGGAGGATAAACAAGGTAATGAAATCAAAAATCTAATTTCTCTTCTCTGTGCTTCAGCTATGTATTATTCTTTCCCTAGCCTTGCAGCATATTCTGGGATGGTGGTGCTAACCAATCAATCCGATGACCATTAAACTTAATTATCTGCCATTTTGCTTTTTAGTCACCAGAGAGGTAGAACACATAAGAAATAAGGGTATCAATGGCCAGAACAAATCTATCATCTTTTCAGAATGTCTCTCTTTCTTATGTCTGGTGTTTATACCAAATACTGGATCTCTTGTATATAACCCAGAATACATAGAAGAAAATCTTACTTGCATCCATGGAATAGACATCCCTATGAAGGTAGGATTTTGAAGTTCATTTAACTCAGTGGTATGTTCCTAGAATTGTGTTTAAAAGTTCTTCTTTCACTTATTTTTAAAAGACCACCTAGGCCTCAACCTCATCCTACACAGACATACATGTGATGTGCAAATGGCTTTTCTTTTCAGCCACTTTGGACAAGTAATAAGTTGTAAGCAATTCTCATGCAATCTATAGAAATCATCCTTTTATATCCTTGATCTTGAATGGGAATGTCTGATCTTTGCATCAGTTATGGAGAAGAGTTTTGAAAGTGATTTTATTCATTGAGTCATGCAAAGTGATGAGATTGGTCACTCCAGTTGTTGGAAAAGAAAGATCTTTGATAGGCTAGCAACTCGTTGCATTGTAACGTAGACAGCGAAGGGTATGGTGTAAAATGAAGGGGAAGAGGGTAAAAGCAGATTTCTGTGAAAATTAAGGAGTATATTGTAGGTTCAGGTCCATCCAAGCAGGCTGGTTGGAGAGCTGTCCAAATCGTGCCTAACTTTTGTGATGTGTTCCTCGTGCTACTATAGATCAGCTCTTCCTGTAGGCTCTGGAGGCCATCAGCAGGTGAGGAAGGTTCACACTGCTACCCCGTCTAAGACGGTTCTCTAAACCCAGTCAATTCTTAGAGTAAATTTGGAAAGAGATGCGCTGGCTGGCCACAGTTAACCACCCTGCTCCCTTTCACTACAACCGACCTTAACCGTCCATGAAACAAAGGTGATAGAACTCATGAAATTGGCTAGGTGCCATTTACTTCCTTGTACCAAATACACAAGTAGAGACCAAGAGGGTGGTCTTGCCTTGACCAAGAGGTCCACCTTTCCAGATGATAAGGGACATGTTGAGTAAGGCTCGTTTATGTCCATTACAATGTGAGGGACTATGTGAGTATGAATGGAATCCAAACTGAGCACATCATGGGCCTCCCATAATAAACGAACCCAAGGGAGAAGACAAAATAACTAACTAGTTTGGACCAAAAAGTCTTCAATATTAGTTCACAGACAGCGGTGTACCCTGATACTTTCTTTAAATACATTTCCTGGTAAACTGGGAATAAAATAATTCTAGAAAGCATCTGTGCACCCCTGTATATAGATGCTTTGATGTAACAGCTCCACCTTCCAGATAATTTGGAAACAGACGCAATTAGAAACTAGACACCGTAAACTCAAAAAGAATAGCAAGCTGGCTGCGTCGAATGAATGTGACTGTAACATTACCTAACGGGGGAAAAGCTTAGTGAATGGAGTATGGAGGGATTGAAAGTCTTCTTCCAACCAGCCAGACTCTGGGTAATGAACGTTATCAACCTGTATCCGATGATAACCAGTCATTTTAGCTTGAAACCGTGGGAGAAGTGAACCTTTAGGAATATCAAGTGACCAAACAAGTATGTGCAGAAATTAACTTTTTTTATTATATATCATATAATGTAGTAGTAAAGTTTGTTTGAAGTGCATGAATAAAAAGTTAGTGAAATTACAGGAGGAACAATCTATAGAGCAATAATAGGTGCATTCCTTGTGCATCTGAAAGGAAAAGAAAAAGAGTTTTCACTCATTTTGGCCTAAAACTTAGTGTCAGGTTCCCAGGATTCTGACATCAGAACCCGGATAACGCTGATTAGAACCATAGGGGCTTTACAATAAAAGCTAAAATATTGACCATATGATGGCAAAAAGTCTTATTTTGCGGTTAACTGATTCTCTTCTAGCTACTCTCTGATGAAGTTGGTGGCGCTGTGGAGGAGGACCGCCGTCTCCTGGACGAGGACCGGGACCGCTCGGCGTTGTAGGTGACGTGCTTGTCGTAGCTCTCCATCTGAGCCTCGATGAAATCTCTCTGCTGTTGCCTGATGGTCTGGCTGATGAGCCCAGGGAGGGCATGGATGCTCCCAATCAGAGTCTCTAGCTTGGTCTCCACGGTAACGATCCTCTTCTCAAAATCTTCACTCCGTTCATTAAGGTCGGAAATCATGTCATACATGATGTTCTGGGTCTGCAAAAGAGGATGGGAGACAGAAAGCAAAAGCAAGAACTCGTGTTTCGGGACACTTGCCCTGGAAGCAAGCTCTGAACTCCCCAAGTCTGAGGGTTGGCTTCCTTTTGGTGGCATACAAAGAAATAGGGGCATCGGGTAACGGAACACTTGACTTTTCAAAGCAGATTCAGGACGTCGGTTCAATGCCAGGATTTAGAAATGTAAGATCTTTGGGGCCCCTGCGGGGCTCAGTCAGTTGAGCCTCCATCTCTTGGTTTTGGCTCAGTTTGTGATCTCAGGGTTTTGAGATCGAGCCCCGCCTTGGGCTCCACACTGGATGTGGAGCCTGCTTAAGATTCTCTCTCTCTCCCACTGACCCTCCCCCTCCTAAAAATATGTAAGGTCTTAGGCCTTAATCTGATCCAGTTGCAGAAAATGTCATACAGGTCCATTGGTGGTAATGCCCCATGATTTTTGGTGGTGTAGTGATTTAATATTTACGTGGATCTCTTAGTAGCAGCTACAAAAGTTAGCACATCACATTCGTTTTGCAACATGTAATATTTATCAGGGCAAGCGTAATTTTTATTTTTTATTTATTTTTATTTTTTATATTTTTAATATTTTTCATTTATTTAACAGACAGAGATCACAAGTAGGTGGAGAGGCAGGCAGAGAGAGAGGGGGAAGCAGTCTCCCTGCCGAGCAGAAAGCCCGATGTGGGGCTCGATCCCAGGACCCTGAGACCATGACCTGAGCCAAAGGCAGAGGCTTAACCCACTGAGCCACCCAGGCGCCCCGAGGGCAAGCGTAATTTTTAAAATGAAGCAGACCGAAAGAATACATAAGAGTATATCGCAGGTACTGGGATGTAGCAAAAATTGTAAAGGTGGGATACGAAGGAAGTTTAGGAGAAACTAATTTGGCCAAGTAATTTATAACTTCAAGCAAGAAAAAAATCTGAAAGATCTTGTGTGGTCCTAGGTTTCAAATTGCAGGTTCTCCATTGGGTCAAGTAGCCTTTTGAGAGGTGAAAAATTGGGAGTGATTACGTGACCAGTCTACCCTGTTGGCTACAGGTTTTTCAGAGCTGAGTGGTTTGAAAGAGGAAAATGTATTTTGAAATGGATTGTCTTGACGAGAGGCTATTCATAACTTGGACTCCTAGTTACGTTTCCGACGGGAACTGAGACCAGGAAGAAGAGAAGCGTGGGCACGTGAATCTCAGTCCATCACTGCTTTTCCCATGTTTCAAACCCTTTGTTAAAGCTGTCCATTCCTCTCTCTCATTTCCCTCTATTAAGTGTGCTCTTACTTGCTTAATAACCCCTTAATGATGATAAATGAACTGACCGACTAAGGGAGTTACTATTCAGGACAAAGGCATCTGGTTTGAGTTTGGTCATGGAGACAGAGCACATTAACTTAATCTTTTCAACATAGTCTTGAGACTATGGGAGCAATTCAGAAAATACTGAACCCTTATGGCACAGGAGATCTGTAGCCATGACAAGAAACATGGTACTCAAGAAATAATTTGAAATCTATAGCGGAGTATAGATCTATGAACGTCTTGCCTTCTAGACTCCTGGAGTGACATTAAGTGACATTATAAAGTACAGATTCATAATATTAAATTATATATAGTAAAATGTCATAGGTTATATTATTTCTAAGTGGTCTGTTTTATTTACCCAGTTTCTTTTATCATTTGGCCTTGGAGTGATGTAAGAGTCTGCCCCATCTTTGTTCAAGACATGTCCACCTGAGAGCTATGTGTGTAAACTGAGAACATTTTTGAGCCTCATGCATGCTCCCCACCTTCAGTACATGATATATCCTCCCCCAGGGGTAAGTCATTGAATACTTCGCTTATCTTCTATTTCTTGGTTTCGAAGAGTCAACTTTTACATATTTCTATAGTATGTGTTATCGATATACATTAACGCAAATATAACTTAGTTGTGCTATCTCATGAGGCTGGGACAAATAGATGTAATTTTCCTAGTGATACTGAGGCTTTCTAAAAGAGAACAGGATGTACGGGTTTGACTGAGTTGCCCCTTTATTTTTTTTAAGATTTATTTTGAGAGAGAGAAAGAGCATGCGTGGGGAGGGGAAGAGGGACAGAGAGAATCTCAGGCAGACTCCCCACTGAGCATAAAGCCCAATGCAGGGCTTGATCTCATGACCCTGAGATCATGACCTGAGCTGGAGTCAACAGTCTGATGCTTAACCAACTGAGCCACCCAGATGTCCCTAGAGACAGTTGCCCCTTTAAAAGCATTCTTGTTAAAAGGTTGAGAACTTCCACGTAATGGCTCCTTTGGAATCAGCTGAGGAAAATGGAAGGTTGTCATAGTCGGCAAATACTTACATTTGGACTGACTTGAGAGGAACAACCAAAAATCAACCAGATAAATCTTGTGAGTGTGACAGAAGAATCAAGGGATCATTAATGTACTTTTTTTTAAAAAGCATGGTGATTTTCTAAATAATGAGAAAAGAATCCTACATTTTAAACTGATTCCCCTTTTTTTTTGGGAAAGAGGATTTTCACATTACAATGTAATTTCTTGTATATATATATTTTACATTTCATCATCACAGTCTTCTGAGTGGGCTTAAAATAAATAAAATAATTTTACTGATGAGTCCTATGTAGCCCTGAACATCATGGTCAAACTCAGCATGTAGTTCTGTTCTCAAAGGGATGAAACGGAATGACAAATACGAAACCTAACAGTGTTGTCTCATATTCCACTTATATTTCTTACTGTATTTTCAAGCCCCTGTAAGTAGGAAGGCTTCTGGAATGGGGTCTGAATAATTTATGTAGGGAAAGAGCATATGAAGGAATAATTTTAGGAAAATTCTATTGAATTGGGTCACCATGTTTAGGGTGGTTTGTTGGGTTGATGCATTTAACAAGTTTGGGGAGTCCTCCTCCCAAAGCATGAGCAGTGACTATGCAGAGCTTTGTTCTGATGGATCTCATCGTGAGGGCTGAGACCCCAAGCTTACCTTGGCCAGGTCCACCAAAGTATTGGCTTGGTCATTCAATTTCCTCTGCTCCATTTTCACACTTCTTAATCTAAAAGACAGAATCTGAAGTCAGAAGGGCTCCTTCCTTTCTATTGCTCTCCTACACCTTCCAAAGAGCATGCATAAAATCGACAAGAGCAAAGAACTGCATGGATAATGCCTTGAATATTTGGGGTCAAGTCCAAACTGGTTATGTGTCTGGTACAATGAGAAGCATGCTTCCCCAACACCGCAAAAAAGGAAAGGAGAGAGAGAGAGAGAGAGAGTAAGAGATGAGGTGTCCTTAGGACAACTATTTACCAGGGAGTTAAAAGTTGAACGGAGAAAGGCTCATAAGGATTTAACCATATGAGAAAAGCCAAAACATTCCTTACAATCCCAGTATCGTTTCAAATAGACATAGGAAGAAATAGGCAAAGCGACGGGAATTTCATCGATGTTGGTGCAGTGAGTACCTTCCTATGCCTACATGACTAGATACGGGGCATAGCCCTGTTCAGTTGGAGATGGATTGGGTTAGGTATTTGAACCTGATGAAACACAGTGATAAGTGAGATTCTTATTGGCAAAAATAAAGCTTTAATTCAACCAGCAGCAAGATAACTCAAAACACATAATTCTCTTATTCTTCCTTGTGTTTTGCTTGACTTTTATCTTAAACTGCCATGAATTTGAAGGGAAGCCAGACCATTTCCTTGGGAGAATTTCCCTTAATTTTTTTCCTTGTCGATAAAAGTCAATGGACAATTAAAATGTCTGACAGATGGGACTACTACTTGTAAAGTTACTTTTAGATACTTTGAAATATCATTGCGTATATATGATTGACAGTCAAAAAACCACTTTAAAAAAAATCTTTCTGAATGACAGCTCTTACTATTATTCCTTAACTCGTTTACTATAAGATTTCAAAAAAAATTTATTCATTGCTTACTCTGTACCAAGAAATTAAGATTTTCCAACAAGAGAAAAGTGGTTTATTGTTCTTTAAGCCAATGATTCAGAGCCACGCTCCAGGAGAGGAACGCAAGTTTCTCTCGGCTCCTTAGTTTAAAAAAAAAAAAAAAAAAAAAAAAAAATTCCATGCTAACCTTATTGCCTTGATGACAGGTTGTTTGCAAAGTATAGTGTTGCTGTTGGAGAGAGTCATCTTGGTCATTTCCCAATTTAAATGAAAGGTAATTACAAAAAAGGGATAAAAAAAATTCACAGGGCAAGATTTTACTGCCAGGGAGATTTTTGCAACAAATGTTCATGATGCGAAGTGATTTTGTTTTGAAACTACGATATCCAATATGTCCCCAAATCTGCTCGACCGTGAAGATAGAGTTCCTTCTGCCAGTATGGGTTTAACCGACACCTGCCTAGAACATGATATTTAACCATCTACAACAGCTTAAGGTTGTAACTTGTCGTGGTGAGTCTGTGTTTCTCTATTAGAATGCTTGGAACTCAGTTCTCCTTTCTAGGCTCTTGGAGAGACAGAGTCTGTTTAAGTGTAAAAGAAATTTACAAATATGTATTTAAATGTAACACATCGTTGAGATAGGCTTCTCTGAGTAGTTACAAGGATTGCAGGTCTTGATGTCTGTCTTTTAAAAACAAGTCCCTTCCCTCCCCCTGCCAAAAAAAAAAACCCCACAAATACCAAAAAACCTTGGATCCTGTGTGGGGTCATTCTACAGAAATGTACTAGAGAGAACAAAGGGGCTGGGCATGGACTCATTCTCCCTGGCCCTAGTCTGAACTTCAACCTAACTGGGTTAGGTTAGGACAGTGGTTCTGAAATGCTGGATTTATACCAGCAGAGGTGCTCTAGATGGCTGAGTGACAAGCCAACAAGACCTTAAATACTAAACCAGATGGAGAGACAGTTCTTCTCTTTAATTCTCTTCCAATTCTTGATTATTACAGGAAAAATGTCTCAGGCTGGTCCTATCCTGTTTTTATCTCCCAACACCTGTTCGTCTCTCCTTTTTGAAAAAAGAAAGAGCAGGATTTCAGCTGAGAGCTTTCTGCAGACAACAGTCCGTGGCTAGAATTCAATGCCAGTGTTTCGACTGCTGGCTGATGCTGCCTTTACCTCTCTTTGCTGCGAACGGTTTTTTGGTTTGCTTTTGTTTAGTTTTGTTTTTGTTTTCTTAGCCCTTTTGTGATAAGGACTTACATCGAGCTTTGTTTTCAGATTTAAGTAATAGGAGAGGCGGCAGGTGAATGACTCGAGTTTGCAGAACCGGATCAGAAGCCTCCAGCAACTGGTGAGCTCGGGTGAGGTCCTGAGCTTGGCCGGTCCCACGGAAGGGCCAGAGTGCTGGTCCCTTCACTCAGTGGGTACTCTTGTCTTCCAAACAGCGAAGCCTTATTTGCTTCTCTTAAATTTCTATATTATGTTTCTGACAGTAGAATTTTGCCCATTTTCTTTTCTGCTAATCTGGAAGGCTGACACTGAGCAGCCCTATTTGAGTGGAATCCCCTGAGCTCCTTGCACTTAAGTCATCTCGTCTTGCTGCTCCTGAGACTGCCTGCACCATAGCACTGGCAGAAAAAAGCCTACTTCGAGCTGCAGCTGCCAGGATAAAAGGCAGGTAACATGCAGGTGTGTGTTTTACTTTTTTCTCCCCACCCCCCTACCCCCGAAAAGAAGAATAAGGAACATATGTTGACTTCTTCCTTGTGAACTTCACTTATCACAGGAAAAGATCATGATTTTGGATCACATTTCCATAGCAGCAATCAGACTACTGAAATTCACAAATAAAGGATCCGCTTGGGTGCATGCAGCCGGTAGAAAATTCTGCAAATGTTGAGGGGAGCGGCTCACACAACTTACTTCCGAGCTCTATTTTCATTTTGTTGAAATAAAAAGACAAAACAAAAGAAAAGAAACTGTAAAATATTCTGGAACAGAATAACACAGCGTGGTGTTCAGTTGTGCACAGGGGGCTCGATTCATTGGTGGAAAGATCCTGTTAAGGTTCTGCAGAATTTTGGCACAGTGATCACAGCAAAACACTGTCCAATTACATTAGCGTCCTTCCCCGCTGAGAGACTGCCCCACCCGAAACACAGCGCTTTCCCCAGAGCGAAGGTTCAGAAGGAAGAACCTCTAGCAGGTCATTATGGCCTCTTTGACAGACGATGTCCAAGTGAACTACAAGACCCATTTTGGCCTAATATGAATGTCCTAGGGACTGTAGTTTTAATAATGGAATTATAATGTAGTCGGTGGTTTTTGGAGGGGTTACATCTCCTCCAAGCTGGGGCTGTTCAGAAGCCTGGCTTTCTGAAATGTGGGCAATCCAAAAGCTCAGCATTAGAGAAATTCTGTTTACGGAATTTCTCAGCTCCGAGACCAGTTTGTGTTGCTTGCTGGGTCTGTAGTTGTGGTAGAAGAATGATAACACTTTAAAAAGAGTTAAAGCTGATACCAGAAAAAGTGCTCAAAGGTCTACAGGAACAGAATGCTTCCTGGCACTAAGTGAGGATCCCAAAAGATAGATCTGTTACTGGAAAGAGGACAGAGCCTGGAAAAGCAGGCATCTACCGGACACTACGGAGGCCATGTGTCAGGGAGAGACGCTGGGAAGAGGGGAGTCCAGAACGAGCTCCAGAAAAGCTCTCAGGACAAATCAGAGGATGGGAGAGGCCAGCAGAGCTCGAGCCAATGAATTTGTAAATCTGGGTCTGAATAGTGGGCAATGCGAGCCTTGCCTTGAAGAATCGAGCCCTGTGTGCTTTCCTGCATGACTTCACTCACTCACTTAAAATGAGAAACTAGGCAGGATTAGAATAATCTAGCCAAAACCCAGCCCATTTAAATGCTCAGTTGTACTTTTTTTTTTTTTAAACAAAGTATAAGTACCCTCCCGCCTCAAAGGAAATCAGATAACCCCAAGACTAAGTTATAAAACAATTCCGAACATTCGCATGGCTAGGAGCTTATCTACTTTAGAAGTACATTGTTGCTGGGTGAAGAAACAGAATGAGAAATGTCTGCGAGGAGCAGAAGAATCAGGAATGGCTTCCTCTGGTACTCTATCCCAGAGAGGGATTCTGGAAGACCCATGTAAGTTATACCTAAAAACCCTTAAGGGCAATCTAGCACCTTCTAGCAATCTAACAATTGCTTAGGGACAGTTTTTCAACTTTGCCTCTCCCAATATTTTTTTCTGACATGCTGTAAAAACTTTCAAACCTGTAGCAAAGTTGAAAAAACATTATGGTGACTACCCCAAAGTTGTCCTCCCTGCCGCCCCAACCCCCACCTCCTCACCCAGAGATTGCAGCACAAATGCATTTTGTGAAAAGATAGATAAAAATATACCCACCGTTCACACGTGGCTACAAAATTATTACAGAAACCATCAAAGCAGTTTTTCCAATAGTTTTGTTATATAAAAACCTATCAGTGGCATCCAAGGCCAATCACATTTCATTTTCTATTTAATAGGTACATTACACTGACAGGCTTAAAAATATGATCCCAGAGGAAATGGCATGTGTGGTTGCTGGACCCATAGACTGCCCACCCCCACCCACACAGCTAAGTTGTTGGTTTTTTTTTAATATACTTGAATAAAGGTTTGTATTGAAACATTAAAAGTGCCAAGAATGATTTCTCCACAGTATATGGTCTGTACCTTTTGGAGGAATATTGGGTGTCTGTGTGGTATGCTTGTGGGGGTATAGGAATGGTCACTCGACCAGGAGAGGGGTCCCAGGGGACCCTTGAGGAGGCGGCCTGTGCTCAGAGGTGAAGGCTCAGCGTCTCTCAGTGGACTTGCTCTCTTAGATCTAAACTTTAAGGAATCAAGATGTGGAGGCTCCTGGGGGGTAGTATTTGGTTGTAAAGGTAGCTGTGATCAGTAGGCAGATTCCTCTTGGGAGCCAGATCTGATCCTGTGTCCCTCTGTGTTTCCCTTTTACACATTCCCATACTTCGGACAGAGCATTATCTTAAAATTCTGGCCTTTTCTTACAATGGGATAAAAAGCATAGTTGGGGGCCCTGGTGATGCCCCAGAGCTAAAGGGGAAATGATGTCACTTTGGTGCTGATGGCAACAAGAATGTGATTAAAGCGTTCTAAGTGGCCATGAGGGCAAACGCACAGTTGGAAGGAGAGGTGAGAGAGTAGCCCTTGAATACGGAGTCATTTCCCCCAGAGACTCTCAGCATAATATATTACATGTGTACTATCTGAGGACAGACAACTAAAACTCCAGGTTCAGAGCTTTCTTGGTCTACCGCGCCCAGGCAGCTCCGAGGACACGCCTTGCCGTCTAATTAGAACACCTAACGGTGGCCCACCTTCCCATGATTCCCTTGGCGGGCTACATGAGGACAGCTACTTTCCTGACCCACCCGTGTGACGACGGATCTGCTCTTCCCCACACAGAAATGGCATGGAGCTAGGAGCAAGGCTGTGCGGCCTCGAGATGGATGCCCCCAGGAGTGTACTTACGGTAAGGATGCTGCCAACCTGGGGGAGAGAGAACTGGTGCTTTCAAGTCATTATTGAAACTCACTACACAGGCATTTATCCTTTAAAGGTCTAGGATGGTTATATATAGTGTTACAACAAAATGGTGCAAAGAATTTCAACAATTGGAACAATGGTGGTCTGGATAAAGTCAGAATAACAGTGAAAGGGTATAAGGTCTCCAGGCATTGTAACATCTATAATCAACATGGAGCATAGGGAAAATCCCCCAAGTCCTGAGTAAAGACTGATTAAAAAATGCAAGTATTAAATCAACCGTCTATACAATCTTCATAGAAACATGTTGGCCATGTGTTAAAAAAAAAATCCAGGTAGGTCATAAAATAGTAAATGTTTGCCAAGATTTTGCAGTAGATACAAACATCCTAGAGCAAACTAGAGGAATAATTAACTACACTAAGAAATATGATTGCAACTGAAAATACTGTTTCTAAAGAGAGAACCTGAGAAGACATTTTAGTTAATAGAGTAATTGACAATTCTCCCCATAACGAGTGATTTTTTTTTTAGTCCTAAAAAGAACTGACAGTCTTAGGATTTCATCTGTGGAATTACTAAAATGCCAAATAATGTCTCGTGGGCACAGACATGACAGTGTTTTCTTTTTCTCTTTTCTCACGAGAGAACAATGACCGAGTAGGAGAATTTAGACCCAGAGCTACACAAGCAGGAAGGCGACAGATGAGAAATGATACTTACTGGTGAATAGCTTGCAAGAATTTTCGTTGATGTTTTCTTACTTTTGCATGATCTATCTTTTTTACTAGCTTCGTATTTTTGTAAATTAGCCATGTTTCCCTGAGTACATTGGCAGCTGCGTTTTTCACCTGTTAAGAAAACAAACGAACACAACAGTTGATAAATTCCAGAGCAGAATCCTTTGCAAGGTGGCTGGGGGCAGGGGAGGGGGGGGGCGGGTCATATTCATCATCTGAATGATCATGGTAAGTTCTAGCTCTGTTGAATAACTGTTTCTCACAAAAAGAAAAGATGTATCTTGAATCTGTGCCTGTTAAAAAGTATGTGTCTGGGAACCCCTTTTAAAATGGAATATTAAGGGGGGCGCCTGGGTGGCTCAGTGGGTTAAAGCCTCTGCCTTCGGCTCAGGTCTCTTCTCAGCAGGGAGCCTGCTTCCCTTCCTCTCTCTGCCTGCCTCTCTGCCTAGTTGTGATCTCTCTCTGTCAAATAAATAAATAAAATATTAAAAAAAAATAAAATGGAATATTAGGGAAGTACTGATCTCTTTCTGGACTAAAGTCTACCCCTCAGGAACCTTTTTATTCAACTAGTTTTTTTTTTTTTTTTTTTTTTTTAAGAAATCAAGAGGTGCCTGTGACCTGTCTGACAACATGGGGTGGGGCAGGGGAAGGTGCTGATTTTCCCCACCCTGTCTTATAGTTGTTATCCCCATGTTCTTCCTTTCCCTGGAGGAAGGCAAAATGCCAGAAGGCCAAGGTGAATCTTGTCTCTTGAAAGCTTGTTTGGTATTTTTGACTGCAAAACAACAGGAAGGGCATGTTTCCACTGCTCACTGTCCAAGCGGTCCTATTCTTCTGCCTTCCTGGGGCGACTTAGCCTGTTAGCACATTTGAATGGACTGACCGAGAGCCTATGCTGCTGTGATTTTAGTTTGGTTAATTTAAGGACGCTGCATTTCAAATGGATGAGACATATCCTTATAAGATGAGACAGATAAGATGAGACATATCCTTGTAAAGGATGTAAGTGTTTCAGTAACACTGCCAAGACCTAGTGTGCAGATGGAAGGTATGAATACTTCGTGGTAATATTCAAGCCCTTGCTTTCTTGAGTAGTGTCTTCAACAATTCCTGGAACTTGATAAAGGCCCAGCCAAGGCCAAGTTTGGCCTCTCCCTTGCTCACAGTGCAGGGTACGAAGACCCAAAGCTTTCACTTAGGCTAATTATTAATGACTTACTCTAAGAAGTTGATCCATGAGGCGAAGTGGGAGAGACTCTTAACTCTAGGAAAGAGACTGCGGGTTGCTGGAGGGGAGGGGGCTAAGGGGATGGGGTCACTGGGGGATGGGCATTAAGGAGGGAACTTAATGTAATAAACACTGGGTGCTCTATGCAATTGTTCGATCACTAAATTCTACTTCTGAAACTAATACCACCCCCCAAAGTTGATCCATACAATTCTACTGAGTGATGGATAAAAGATGTTTCTAGGGGCACTGGGTAGAGGAAGACGACTCTGTGAGAAAGTCGAAGTGGTGGGGAAGACAGGGCAGAGAACTGGACTTGAGAAACGGTTCTAAGTTCTTGGGACTAACTAAGTCAGATCAAGGAGACTAGCTAAACCTCCCATGACTGACTTCAGTTTTCTCTTCCCTACATGAGAAAAGTAGAGCGAATTCTTACTAAAGTGCTTTTCAGGACTTAGTCTTCATTCAGGAAGAGTCTTAGAATTACATTACAACTACGATCACAGGGATCTATGTGTTTTTTTTTTTCTTTGTTTTTTTTTTTTTTTTTTTTTTTTTTCTATTTTTAGCCAAGAAAGCCCCAGGTTTGGTAGCTGGTGGTGAATCTCGGTCAGGCTGCCGTAAAGGTTTCTTTCTGAGTGAAACTGTATTGCGAGAACCCACGTTAAGAGAATGACTCGTTTCTTAGAACTGCTTTTAGCAGCAACTTGGGTTGGTGATGCTTGTCCTCTGGACTGTCCTCAGACTCTGTGCCGACAGCCTTCTTTTTGAAACCAGTGGAAACAGCATCGAAATACTGGGTGCTGAGCTCCAGCAGTGTGTCCAAGAAACATGACCGCCGTCCATGGTGAAGTTGAAAGGTGTTCTAGGTCAATTCTGGGCTCTTCGTTCTTACAGAAACAGATTTCTCTTTTTTACAGGGGTAGGAGTCACCTTTGGGAAGGATCTTCTATCTGGTCCTTATGTCCGTTTCAGCTGTAAGGAGCCTGCGTAAGTGGCCAAGGGTTGAGGACCTTGGGAAAGGGGTAGCAAGTTACTGGCTGTCACTGACTGGGGCCAGAATAGGCCCTTCCCCACCGGGAAACAGAAGGGCCAGTGAATGGCAGTCTCAGCTGTCAGAACGGCTTTAGCTGCCTGGAAGATGGTAAGGAAACCTGGTGGATGCCCCCTTCTTGATTTTATCACCTCAAGACACAGAGGAGGAAACTGGAAAACTGGAAACTGGAAAACTTGGTAAAAACAGATGGGACAGTGACACAGCGGTTGAACATAGGAATGTTTGCAGGAGAACGTTAACAACAGATTTTGCTTTGGGCTCCCATCCATAAACAGCAAAGGCCAAATTCCTCCAGTTCCTAAATCTTTACAAAGGCGGTGCGCTGCTTTCCCTCGAGGTATTTTAAATGATTTTTTGTTGTTGTTGTTCTCTTTGGGATGACAGGGGAATAGCTGACGGGAGTAGGGAACCTCAATTTCTGTGATCAATGTGCACAGGATTTGTGTGCACGAGACGCTCAGTGTGGTTGACAGGCTAAGAATGAAAATGATTCCTCATCTGAAAATGAAACTCTATAGAGCTGCTCTGAAAAACTGTGAGACAGAGGCATTAACACTGAAACGTTCCCCTTTCTAACTCCCAAATGGGTTTTGGAACACAAGAATAAAACTCTGAAGGCATCCCATTTAACTGGTACTTTTCAAGATGGCAGCCACAAGATGAACGTCCAAGAGTAGAACCATGCACTCTCTGCCTAGTGATCACATGTGTCTGGGATAAGTAGGTTTTTCCAGCCCCTTAAGGCTGAAAGGGATGGGGGACAGTGAGAAGACTGGTTACTAAGTACCTCAGTGTTCCACAGGTTTGAGCAATGGGGAATTGTTACTGGGCAGTGCTAGCCCACTGGAGAAGGGAAGTAGGTCTAAGCAGTCATGATGGTTTAGATGAAAGGGAAGGTGATTTACAGCACAAGTTTCTTTTGTTAATGAAGTTAAGAACCCTGCCATACAGTCTTCTCCCACTGTAACCCTGGCTTTCCCTCCTGTCCTTTGGGGGCATTTACAGACTCTCAGAGGGCAGGGGTCTTGGCACCCATCTTTGTGTCTCTCTAGTACAAATATCTGATAGCATGGTATACACTTGGCATCGTAAAAGTTTCTAATCATGAACCACAGATACATACTTACCAACCAAAGGACCCTTTGGATAAGAAGGGAATAGAGGTTACAGAAGAGACCTGAGATCTAACCACGTCTTCCCTAATTTCCATTTACTAATTCAACACATTTATTAAGTCTCTATCCCATGTTAGATACCATGATAGTTGCTATGGGGGATCATCGATGTGGCCCCATCAGTAGCTGGCATAACTCTAGTGCCAATTTATGGGCCAACACCACTGTGAAATAGAACTTCTTTCCTGTACATCAAAAGATAAGGACAGAAAAAAAAGGGAAACATGAACATTGGCTCTGCCTGACTCAGGCTCAATTCCAGTTAAAATCTTTTATCAGAAACATGTTGCCAGACATATTAATAATCAGGTATTTTGAGAAAACAGAGGCCCTAAAAGCAATAATTCTATTGAAGGTAATAGTACTTACCCAGATGCCTTAAAACCACCTTCCTTCACAGGTAGAAAGGATAGGAAATGTGGTTTTTGGTTTTTGTTTTGTTTTTTGTTTTTTGTTTTTTTTTCAGTGTTCAGTGATTCATTAGTTAAGGATAACACCCAGCGCTCATCACAGCATGTGCCCTCCTACCCTCCTACATACCATCGCCCTGTTACCCCCCTCCCCCACCCTCCTCCCCTTTGAAACCTCCAGATTGTTTCTCAGGGTCCACAGTCTCTCAAGGTTCAGAATATGAAATGTTCTATTGCTGACTTATGGTAATAATTAAAAAAAAATTAAAGCCCCAGGTAGCAAGGTGAATAATATTTCAAAGTGTAACAATATGTACTAAACCACAAAAGCCCTTAAAGCTGATAGACTTTGAGCTGAAACTCTGCTTTGCTCAAACCTAGATAGAGACACGTTATTAGAGCACTGTCTTAAAGGGTGCTTTGTTTCTAGTTCTCCTTTGCTTGGCACTATTATGATTCTTAAGAAATCTCCTTTTTTATGTCCTTTTCGTCTTGCCCCTCTTTTCAGAGACTTAATTCAGGGCAATGCTTCCCCCTCTTCGTGAATTTAAGAGGAAAGAGCATAACCTTTGCCAGAAGAAGCAAGATCGAGATCCCTGCCTCTCATTGTCCTAACTACGGTAAAATGTTGCCTTGTATGCTGTGGGCGATGCCTCTGGGATGCCCAGGACAAACACAGACAAGACTTCTAAGCCTGAACACCACACCACGTGCTGCCCAGTTCCCCTTGGGAGCAGGTACGTGGGGCTGGGTGAATTCTGGGGCTTTGGAACAGGGTAAGGCCAAGTGATCCATTCATTGCATGTTTTCACCCCCTAGGCTGATGTCACCAAGCCCAATGTGAAGTCTCCATGGACTGAATCCTCCAGAATTTCTGTTCACTTGCTAAGAGGCACGTAGGAAACCAAATTACATAACTGCATAATGGTGTTCTTATTATGGATCTTATTGAGAATTCTTAACAGGATTGGAAACACCCACAGTGGACATTAATATGCATAATTATCTTCTGTGGTACATCTAGCTACTTTAAAAAAATTACGTCTGGGCTCCCAGAATTGCTTGTTTTCAAGTTTCCTTCCAAAATGGAAGTATGCAGAGGGCCAAACCCCAAGATTTCTTCTTGGTTCAGACGTGAATGAAGAGCAGTAACATTTCCAGAAAGATAAGAGTGTGGTAAACCTGCTGCCTCTGTCAGGTGATAAACAGTAAATCTAAAAAATGGTGGTTCCTGTCTT